AGTGCGGCAGAACTTCCAAGAAGAAAATAGCGCTCGCGGCTCAATTTGACCTATGAGAATGAGGATTCTCTTCTTTTCCTGCTCCATCTGCGTCTGGGATGAGAATTAAACAGTTCATGTCCAACTGGTGACGACAACAAATATAACATGGAGCAGCAAGATTCCTCGGCAGGGGGCATAGGCTTGGGCGCCGAACGTCAAACAAACCTAATAGTGCGATGAGCTCGCAATTTCGAATAGTATAATAGACCATGACCCCTATGACCTTGCTGTCCCCCTAGCAACTGGGGATCGGTGGTGCGGGTCGGGGTGGGTGGAGCAAGGCATAAGCACGGCAAATCAATTGTGCTCGAGCAGTGCTAGCTGTAAAACACAAGGGAAGGCCATTAAAGTTTTGCTCGTAAAATTACAGTGATTGTTTTTCGTAAACCACCTCGCTTCAGGTAAATAAAAGACCATTTTGCAGGAAATTTGTTTTTCGTAAACCACCTCGCTTCAGGTAAATAAAAGACCATTTTGCAGGAAATTCGCACTACGGCAGTTAGTGCTATTTGACAAAAGACGCAAATTTTTATAATGATTTAAATTGGGAAAAAAATCAATAGGAAGAAACTCAATGAAGTGCCGCGTGGAACGTGTCGAATAGTTTATACACTTAGCATGTACGAATATGGCATCCGTAGTATAGCTCATTCGCACCTTTCCTCGCACCCGGACCTAGGCTAACCTGTACCAGCCGACCTAACCTCACGGTGCGGGTCCTTGGTTCCCTTTAATGACGTTCGCGCTCCTGCGCCCCCCGGTCTCTTTGTGCTCGAGCTGAGCTGAGCTGGGATCCCTCATGCAGAGCGCAGCCGCGCTTGCCGAGGTCGGACCAGCCTAGTGAGAGAGAGAGAGAGAGAGAGAGAGAGAGAGAGAGAGAGAGAGAGAGAGAGAAGCAGATCCATTGCACGGTTAAGACAATGTCTAATTTTTGCATTAAAATAGGAAAACTTTGAGGAACTCTCGTAATTTGAGGATAACTCTTCTAATAAAAATGAGAAGTCCCACGTTTTGTGACGAGTTTTACTCAAAATCTGAAGAGTTTACCTCATATCACGCAAGTTCCTCGAATTTCCCACCATTCCCTCGAAAAATCGGACATTGTTTTTCCCTTGTGCCTTCAGTCGGACGGACCTTTTTTTCGTACTTGCGAATGACTGAAAGGGCGCGCCGGGGCTCGGAGCGGGGCGGGAAAAGGGGTTAGCCTGATGAAAAAGTGATGACTTTGCCTGGGTGCCATTCTCAAGGTGCGTGCGTTGTGAAGCAGGAGGTACGGTTCTCAAGCCATGGCCGCTGAGGTTTGCTCTGACGCGGGGGGCTGCCTTGGTCGTGAGGAGTTTGCTTCTACTCTCTCGCTCCCTTGCTCTCTTTCTCGCACTCGCTCTTTGCTGCCTCAATTATGTACCTAATTTTCCCCTCGCAGAAACTTGTACTCGCCCCCGGGGAAAAGGAAGAGGAGGAGGTCGAGGTGGTGGTGGGTGGGGGATGAACGGGCTATATGCGCTCGCCGAAAGGAGTTGCTCGATGTTGTACAGCGCGGCCCCAACATCTACGCCCGTCGTTCTGCCTCGGTGTTTACGCACCGCGCTGGGAGGGGGGGTAGAGAGTGACTTGCTTTTGGATACATTGGAGTCATTACTGTGTGGCCCTGGCCGACTGCTAGAGCCATGCCCGCTTGTCGC